GCATTGCTTCTAAGTTAATTCTGAAGGCATATGGCTTTAATTCCACAGCATCTAAGTTAATTCTGCAGGCATATGCCTTTAATTGCACTGCATCTACGTTAATTCTGAAGGCATATGCCTTTAAATGCATTGCATTTAAATTAATTGTGCAGGCATATGCCTTTAATTGCATTGCATCTACGTTAATTCTGCAGTCATATGCCTTTAATTCCATAGTATCTAAGTTCATTCTGCAGGCATATGCCTTTAATTGCACTGCATCTAAGTTAATTCTGCAGGCATATGCCTTTAATTCCAGAGAATCTAAGTTAATTCTGCAGACATATGCCTTTAATTGCACAGCATCTAAGTTAATTCCGCAGGCATATGCCTTTAATTGCATTGCATCTACGTTAATTCTGCAGGCATATACCTTTAATTGCTTTGCAACTAAGTTAATTCTGCAGGCATATGCCTTTAATTGCATTGCAACTAAGTTAATTCTGCAGGCTTATGCCTTTAATTGCATAACATCTAAGTTAATTCTGCAGTCATATGCCTTTAATTCCAGAGAATCTAAGTTAATTCTGCAGACATATGCCTTTAATTGCACAGCATCTAAGTTAATTCCGCAGGCATATGCCTTTAATTGCATTGCATCTACGTTAATTCTGCAGGCATATACCTTTAATTGCTTTGCAACTAAGTTAATTCTGCAGGGATATGCCTTTAATTGCATTGCAACTAAGTTAATTCTGCAGGCATTGTCCTTTAATTGCACTGCATCTTTGTTAATTCTGCAGGCATATGCCTTTAATTGCATAGCATCTAAGTTAATTCTGAAGGCACATGCCTTTAATTGCATTGCATCTGAGTTAATTCTGCAGGCATATGCCTTTAATTCCAGAGAATCTAAGTTAATTCTGCAGACATATGCCTTTAATTGCATTGCATCTAAGTTAATTCTGCAGGCATATGCCTTTAATTCCATAGCATCTAAGTTAATTCTGCAGACATATGCCTTTAATTGCATTGCATCTAAGTTAATTCTGCAGGCAGATGCCTTTAATTCCATAGCATCTAAGTTATTTTCAAGGCTTAAGCCTTTAATTCCATAGCATCTCAGTTAATTGTGCTGGCATATGCCTTTAATTGCTTTGCAACTAAGTTAATTCTGCAGTCATACACCTTTAATTGCGTTGCAACTAAGTGAATTCTGCAGCATTGTCCTTTAATTGCACTGCATCTAAGTTAATTCTGAAGGCATGTGCCTTTAATTGCATAACATCTAAGTTAATTCTGCAGGCATATGCCTTTAATTGCATTGCATCTAAGTTAATTCTGCAGTCATATGCCTTTAATTCCAGAGAATCTAAGTTAATTCTGCAGGCATATGCCTTTAATTCCACAGCATCTAAGTTAATTCCGCAGGCATATGCCTTTAATTGCACAGCATCTAAGTTAATTCCGCAGGCATATGCCTTTAATTGCACAGCATCTAAGTAAATTCCGCAGGCATATGCCTTTAATTCCATAGCATCTAAGTTAACTCTGCAGGCATATGCCTTTAATTCCATAGCATCTCAGTTAATTGTGCTGGCATATGCCTTTAATTGCTTTGCAACTAAGTTAATTCTGCAGTCATACACCTTTAATTGCACTGCATCTAAGTTAATTCTGCAGGCATATGCCTTTAATTGCATTGCATTTAAGTTAATTCTGCAGGCATATGCCTTTAATTCCATAGCATCTAAGTTAATTTTGCAGGCATATGCCTTTAATTGCACTGCATCTAAGTTAATTCTGCAGGCATATGCCTTTAATTGCACTGCATCTACGTTAATTCTGAAGGCATATGCCTTTAATTGCATTGCATCTAAGTTAATTCTGCAGGCATATGCCTTTAATTGCATAACATCTAAATTAATTCTGCAGGCATATGCCTTTAATTGCATTGCATCTAAGTTAATTCTGCAGTCATATGCCTTTAATTCCATAGCATCTAAGTTAATTCTGCAGGCATATGCCTTTAATTCCACAGCATCTAAGTTAATTCTGCAGTCATATGCCTTTAATTCCATAGCATCTAAGTTAATTCTGCAGGCATATGCCTTCAATTCCATAGCATCTAAGTTAATTTTGCAGGCATATGCCTTTAATTGCATTGCATCTAAGTTAATTCTGCAGGCAGATGCCTTTAATTCCATAGCATCTAAGTTAATTCTGCAGGCATATGCCTTTAATTCCATAGCATCTAAGTTAATTCTGCAGGCATATGCCTTTAATTCCATAGCATCTAAGTTAATTCTGCAGGCAGATGCCTTTAATTCCATAGCATCTAAGTTAATTCTGCAGGCATATGCCTTTAATTCCATAGCATCTAAGTTAATTCTGCAGGCAGATGCCTTTAATTCCATAGCATCTAATTTAATTCTGCAGGCATATGCCTTTAATTGCATTGCATCTAAGTTAATTCTGCAGGCAGATGCCTTTAATTCCATAGCATCTAAGATATTTTCAAGGCATAAGCCTTTAATTCCATAGCATCTCAGTTATTTGTGCTGGCATATGCCTTTCATTGCTTTGCAACTAAGTTAATTCTGCAGTCATACACCTTTAATTGCGTTGCAAATAAGTGAATTCTGCAGGCATTGTCCTTTAATTGCACTGCATCTAAGTTAATTCTGCAGTCATATGCCTTTAATTCCATAGCATCTAAGTTACTTCTGCAGGCATATGCCTTTAATTGCATTGCATCTGAGTTAAATCTGCAGGCATATGCCTTTAATTCCAAAGAATCTAAGTTAATTCTGCAGACATATGCCTTTAATTGCACAGCATCTAAGTTAATTCTGCAGGCATATGCCTTTGATTGCATTGCATCTATGTTAATTCTGAAGGCATATGCCTTTAATTGCAATGCATCTAAGTTAATTCTGAAGGCATATGCCTTTAATTGCATTGCATCTAATTTAATTCTGCAGGCAGATGCCTTTAATTCCATAGCATCGAAGTTAATTCTGCAGGCATATGCCTTTAATTGCATTGCATCTGAGTTAATTCTGAAGGCATATGCCTTTAATTCCACTGCATCTAAGTTAATTCTGCAGGCATATGCCTTTAATTCCATAGCATCTAAGTTAATTCTGCAGGCATATGCCTTTAATTGCATTGCATCTAAGCATAGCATCTAATTTAATTCTGCAGGCATATGCCTTTAATTGCATTGCATCTAAGTTAATTCTGCAGGCAGATGCCTTTAATTCCATAGCATCTAAGTTATTTTCAAGGCATAAGCCTTTAATTCCATAGCATCTCAGTTATTTGTGCTGGCATATGCCTTTCATTGCTTTGCAACTAAGTTAATTCTGCAGGCATATGCCTTTAATTGCGTTGCAAATAAGTGAATTCTGCAGGCATTGTCCTTTAATTGCACTGCATCTAAGTTAATTCTGCAGTCATATGCCTTTAATTCCATAGCATCTAAGTTAATTCTGCAGGCATATGCCTTTAATTGCATTGCATCTGAGTTAAATCTGCAGGCATATGCCTTTAATTCCAAAGAATCTAAGTTAATTCTGCAGGCATATGCCTTTAATTGCACAGCATCTAAGTTAATTCTGCAGGCATATGCCTTTGATTGCATTGCATCTAAGTTAATTCTGCAGGCATATGCCTTTAATTCCATAGCATCTAAGTTAATTCTGAAGGCATATGCCTTTAATTCCATAGCATCTAAGTTAATTCTGCAGGCATATGCCTTTAATTGCATTGCATCTAAGTTAATTCTGCAGGCATATGCCTTTAATTCCATAGCATCTAAGTTAAATTCTGCAGGCATATGCGTTTAATTCCATAGGGTCCTAGTTAATTCTGCAGGCATATGCCTTTAATTGCATTGCATCTAAGTTAATTCTGAAGGCATATGCCTTTAATTCCACTGCATCTAAGTTAATTCTGCAGGCATATGCCTTTAATTCCATAGCATCTAAGTTAATTCTGCAGGCATATGCCTTTAATTGCATTGCATCTAAGTTAATTCTGCAGGCATATGCCTTTAATTCCATAGCATCTAAGTTAATTCTGCAGGCATATGCCTTTAATTGCATTGCATCCAAATTAATTCTGAGGGCAAATGCCTCTAAGTCCGAGGGAAAATGCCTTTAATTGCATTGCATCTAAGTTAATTCTGCAGGCATATGCCTTTATTGCTGTAGGGTGTATGTTAATTTGAAGGTATATGCCACAGTTAAATATAAATAAATATATTAATTTTTTACATATGCCTTATTTAAATGTAAATAAATATGTTTATTTTCATATGCCTTAATGAAATATATATATATGTATTATACTATAGTATTTTCATAATATATCAGTAAATGTTTTTGTGTGACTCTTCCAATAAACAATGTTGTGATCGGGCAGTGGGCTGGAATGCTTTCTGTGACTTACGTTCTCATGTGATCTCTTTAGTTTTCTGTATAATCAGTGATGATACAGGTGCTGTAATTTGGAAATACACAAGGGAGTTTGGCGAAGCAGGTTATGACACCAAAAGAATAGATAAAGGGCTCTCCCTTATCCTGGGCTCACTGCAACACTGCACAGGAGGGATCTTTAAAGAGACTCTTCCCCGCTGGCAGCCAGCTCTGCAATGGGGTCCAGGAGAGGCGCAGCCAGGCTCCGTCCCTCCCAGCAGCACAGCGCATTGCCTTCACTGTGCTCCCAGGGCTGATCAGCGCTCGCCTCAGGTGATCGACCAGAGGTTCAGGCTGTGATTCAGCAGCTCCCATACAGCCTTCACAGTCAGATACCTCGTGGAATCAGCATTTCCACTACAACGGTCTAGGCTCATCGATCCTTGAGCGCTGGCCAAGCAGGTGGCTTCTGCCAAATGCTTTTCCCACTGCTTTAATGTTCTTCCCCGCATTGCCTTCAACATCGTTTCAACAGCACCGTTGGATCTTACCAGCAGCTGGTGCATGCAAGGGAATGTGAGATGAGCCCTCTGGATGCCAAGATCTTTGGCCCAAATATTTGCAAGGGAACTTTCAAAACGTGTCCCCCCATCTGACTCAATTCTTTCACTGTAGAGAAGACCTAAAATATTCAATCCAGCAACTGTTTTGTGTGCACCTATCTATCTATCTATCTATCTGCTCCATTCCATTTCATCTTACCCATAAATCTTGTTAAGCACACACGTAGAAAGCAGGGTTGTTCAGCTGTGCCCTTCCCCAGGTCACTCTGCTCTCCTCAGACCCCCAGCTCTGTCCCAGAAGCATCTTTCATCAGCCCTTCCTAGAAAGAGCTGCCTGCTTTGGCAGCACAAATGGACTCGTTCATGGTGAACTCCCGGCTTCCTCGTGCCTGGAACAACTCCATGGGCCTGCTCAGCCATCTGCACCAACCCTGGATGTTGTTTGTCTCCACAATCAGCACCCCTACCACCGCATCTTCTTTCCAGAGGTATGTTCCCCCATCCCTGACTAAGAGAGGGAATCTGCTCTGGATCTTCTCCTTATACACAGCAAACGGAATGCCAGAGCAGCACCAGAAAGGAGAGTCCAGTTTGTTTTTGCTCCAAAGCCGCGCTCGGGATACAGCTGGGACTCCTGTGCTTGTTGTTAGCTACAGAGAGGCAGGGCTTTGTTCCAGAAGAGCCACCCAGCTCCACGCTGGGCCTGCTTTTCTGACAGCTCACGAGAACTTTTGAGCCCTGGGCTATTAGGACCAGCAGTGCCCAGCAGTGTAGATGCGTGCCTTGCTTGAGCGCACGGCAGATGCTGGCCTTGCACAATGGTGCTTCAGCACACACCCACCAGGATGGAGCAGCTTGATGCTCTCTGGCACACGTGAGCCTCTGCCTCCTGCAGGCCGTATTTCCGATGGCTGCATGCTGCTTTGCTCTGCTCTGTATTTATGGCCTGTGGCTGGGCAGAAGTCCTGTCTGTGCATGGAGTGGTACTTCCATTACTTTCTAAGCATTTTCTCTCAGCAAAATTTCTGTTAACTGCTTCTGAGCACACTGTGCTACGAAGCACAGTCCCCTTTGGATTGATTTCAGCTTTGCTAGAATTATGTTAATTATGAAGTCTTCCTGTCGATTTATAGGAGGAAGTGTTTGGGAAGTGCTGTGGTTTTCCCCACGTGGTGCTGATGGGTCAGAGTGAAGACATCATGCAAGAGTAACACAGGTGTGTCTGAAATGTTGCTGGAGGCAGCTGCATGCAAAGACAGCATCGGAGCTGAAATCAGGGGGTGCAGATCTGAGAGAGGAATGCTTGAAAAGTGGCTATCTGATCAAGTGTCTGTGCGTTTGGTTTAAAACTACCCCCCACTTTGTATTCTCTGATTCTAGGCATGGACTGAGACCACATTACCTCCAATTCCTCCCCCTGAATGGCGACAAAGCTTTGCTCTCACAAAGCAGTTGGCTTCAGCCCCACGGGTTGCCTGCAGCCTCCGATCTGCAGCAAACATTCTGCTGCCAGAGGACACAGCAGAGCCAGCTCTACTCATTGCAGCAGATAGAAAAACATCTCCGCGCTCTTTTGCACTGCTTTCAGAAATGTTAGCTAGGCTAACTACTTTTTGTAGACAGGAATTGGCTTATCCAATGGTGAGTCATCACCTGTGACTGTTTCAAATAAAGATCTTTTAAATCTGTTTTGCAAACTGACAAGAAAATCCTATTTGAGCTTTTGTACAGTGGAATGGCTGCTTGTGCTCTGCCTGCCCACTCCTGCAAACTGCATCTACACCCACCGCCTCATCCACTTACCTTACCATCATAGCAACATTGTTCAGTGTTTCTTCCTCCAGTCAGAAAGGTACTTCAACACGTTCATTAAGCAGGAGCTTAACGAGACTGTGACTTACTTTGTGTTCTCCTGGTGCTAGGGCATCAGTAAGCAGAGCACCGTGCAAACAAGTCCCCTGCAGTTCGAGCAGGATGGCGCCCACAGCAGCTTTGTCTCCTGGAGGCAGGGACAGATGCATCCAGGTGTGAGGTAGGGGAGGGGTGGAACAAGGGGCGAGGGGAGGGAGAGGAGGAGGAGGACTGGGACAAACGTGCCATTCATCTTGCACACCTTCCATTATTCGTGAAAGGTTGTGAGCTGGAGAGACAAGCTGCAGGTACACAATTGATCAGTTTGCTCTCATGAAACGCTCCTCCATCTTCAGTTACTCTGTCTCACTTCCACGGCCACAGCATCCATAGCCCAGAGGATCGGGACATCGGGGCCCTAAATACTCTGAGTGTTCATTCAGTGCAGAAATAGAAGTGATAGCTGCTGTAGGTTAGCAGTGTGTGCTGCCCTAGGCAGAAATAAGTCTCTAGAGAAATCAAGACACAACGGCGATTGCTTCACAATCACCTGGAAAGCATAAAATCTGGTAATTCACCAAGTGCAGTATAGTGCGTTAAACAGAGAAGTGCAGGAGTGTGAAACAGTTCTGGGCTGATCCAGCTCTGGGGAGGAGGGCATCACTTGAACGTAACAGCAACAAACCAACAAACAAAAGAATAAAATAGAAAAATTTGCCTTGCTTGCAAACAGAACGGAGCAGAGCGATGGAGAATTTTCTGTTCACACAAGATGAATGGACGAGCAAGAGACGAATAAGAGGCAGCAGCCTGAGTGACAGCTGGGCACAGACAAGTTCCCCTGCTGCTGCTGGTGGCCAGAGCCCATTTCCAGGAGGAGCAGCCAGGAGATGTGCTGAGCTGGGAGTCAGACCTGCTGGAACCTGGGGGTTGAAAGCAAGAGTTGAGATGGTGCACCAGCTGTGCTGAGCTTCTCTAGGAAAAGAGGCATGAAATTAAAGTTAGGTTCCCCAGTAGAACACAGGAACCATGTGAAATTCATTGTAACACAACTTCAAAAGCATCACAGATGAAACGCCTGTGGATCACAGGTTTATTTTTAATGACACAGCTCTGGAAAGCTGTGTGCAAAGAAGTGGTTAAGGACACAGGACCAATGTGCAGCAAACCAACCAACGCCAGTTGTCCTGGGGAGAAGCCATCCCAGCAAGCAGCTCTTTGAGTAAGGGACCACAGGGCACAGTGGTTGCCAGGGTGAAAGATATTCTGGGTCCCCAAAACCCCTCGGATTCCTTTTCAGTTAACAGCATCTGTTCTCCCCGTTAGTGGCATTTTCCATTCATACTCTGTCTCTGATTTCCTACGAGTGTGACCAAAATCCTTCTGGAATTTGGCCAGCTCAGTAGCAGAACAGGGGACCTCCTGGATACCAGCATCAGTGCCCACCTTCACTCTCTTCACACGCACGCCTAGTTTCTATCGCCCAGTTTCTAATTGGAGGACGATCACCTCCCTCTCCTGCTGGCCGCCCCTTCTTTAATGCAGCCCAGAACACAGCTGGCCTTCCAGGCCGCAATCACGCTGCTGGCTCATGTCCAGCTTCTCGTCCACCAGGACCCCCAAGTCCTTCTCTGCAGGGCTGCTCTCCAGGAGATCTTCCCCCAGTTTGTATAAATACCTGGCATTGCCCCGACCCAGTGTAGCACCCTGCACTTGGCCTTATTGAACCTCACCATGTTTGCATGGGCCCACTTCTCCAGCCTGTCCAGCTCCCTCTGGATGGCTTCCCTTCCTTCCAATGTATCAACTGCACCGCTCAGCTTGGTGCCATCTGCAAACTTGCTGAGGTGCCCTTGATGCCATCGTCTGTCACTGATGAAGATGTTGAAGAGCACCGGTCCCAGGACCGACCCCTGAGGGACACCGCTTGTGAGCGGCCTCCACCCGGACACAAACCATTGATCACAACCCTTTGCTGGGACCAGCCAACCAATTCTTAATCCACTGAACAGTCCATCCTTCAAATCCACACCTCTCCAATTTAGAGAGAAGGATGTGGGGAGGGACCACGTCAAAGGCTTTGCGGGTAGATGACATCAAAACTAAGACTCTGACTGAGAATTCCAACTTCAACATCCACAATGTGGGGTCGAGTGAGAGAGCTCAGAGCTTCCAGGCTCTCCACAGCAAGCTTAGGATCTCAGAACTTGAAAATGTAGATAATGGTGTTTCAGACAACACTCACTCTTGTGTGTCTTTGGGCTGAATGTCTGCATGCTTTGCTGGCCAAGGTGGGGATGGCTGCAGGAGGAGGAAGACAGCAGGCTCTGCAGAGACCCAGAGTCGTGGCTGCCACAAGGGTAATAACTCAGATCCCAGGCAGGGCACCTGGGTGCACCCAAAGCCTAGGCCCAATCTTAAGGATCCAAGAGAGCGTGCGTATGCCCATGGGTAGGTGCTGCAGGGCACATCTTGCTCACTGGTGAGTTTCACATCAGATCTGTACATGGATTTGAGATGATGTGTTTGTGTGTACGTGTATGTGTAGAGTTGTTGGAAATTCTGGGGCAACTTTTCCTGGCTGCTGGTGCAAGAAGAAACTAGAATGAATCTTAGACTCGATATTAGGAAGAAAATTCTTTACTGTGATGGTGGTGACACACTGAAAGAGGTTGCCCAGAGAGGTTGTGGATGCTTCCTCCTCCCTGGAAGCATTCCAGGTCAGCCTGGATGGGGCTTTGAGCAATCTGGTCTAGCAGAAGGTGTCCCTGCTTATAGCAGGGGAGTTGGCACTAGGTGATCTTAAAGGTCCTTTCCAGCCCAAACCCTTCCATGTACGAAGGAATCCTCCCTCTAGGCCCCGTAGGTGTGATGATACTTTGCAGGGCATCAGGATGACCGAGGCATGTTCCCATCTCTGTGAGGTTTGAAGAGGCCCCCCCAGTTGATAGATACTGAGGCTGGATGGAAAACCAGGCTGCAGTAATTGAAAAGATAAAGGCAGTGTAGCTTAGTAATAAGACTTGAGTACAGTTCTTACTACTGCATCCCAAATGGCCTGCATGGAAAAAAAATCTGACAGCGTTTACAGAGGGCATGTATTCTCCCTTCCACAGCCTTAATTTTTCCACGTTGTGTCACATCTCTTCTTGGCACTGTTACGCATGCTGCCTCTGAAGCTGTTGCAAATAATAAATGGGAAATCCATCAGTGCAAGCAGGTGGCTTTTTCTTTACAATCATCCAATGTTCAGAGAATGCAGACAAGTTGTTTGGTGAATAACTTTTCTTTGTAATGTCAAAGCTGTGCAGCTGATAGCAGTTCTTGGACTGCAGCATTTTTACAGAGTGCAGCTAAGCTGCCTTTTGTGTGTGCAGTAGAAAACGTGGCTACATGTGTGCCCGACTTCAAACCACCACCTTTTGCACGTTTACTTTTGTGACTTACAAATTCTGAAATAGGTTTCCAACGAGGAGAGAAACACCAAGTAAAGATTTTTCTGTTCTTCTGACACGTCTGGCGTCAGAGGAAGCGTGAATGGTTCTGCATCCACGTCCACAGAGAACGGTGGGGCCAGTGCAGTTCACTGGCAGCTGCAAAACGTCTTCAGAACCGAGCCCTGAGGGGGCAGCAGCACAACAACAGCTCCTGCAGCTGCTGCGCTCAGCACATCCACACCAAGACAAGAGCAGCCAGCAAGTCCTCCAACTCGGGCATAACTACGGTCAGCCAAGGTCCTCTTCCACCCGGCTACGAGCTGAATGTATTTTTCTGCTGCCTTTTCTGTTCTCTTATTTTAAGCACACCAAAATACACGTCACATCTGCCTTTTGCTGCACAACAGAAATTGCCAACAGCTTTTAAAGTGAGGGTTTTCTAAACTGTTTGACCCAGTAGACCTTCAACTGTGTGTGCGTGTGTGCGTGTGTGGTTTAATCAAGAAAGGAATTAAATTTTAAGCAGTTATGATGCTGGCTGTGAACTGCTAAGTCAGTGAGACGACTAGCTTTCCTCAAATTAGAAAGAAGTCAAACAGTAAGGAAGTGGTATAAATAAGCAGAAGGAAAGTCACTGTTGCAGGACATAATCTGCTGTGTGGCTTTAAATGTTCATACACTGCACCTCCTGAGAGCAATGTGGGCACAGACGTTTCATACCCATGTGGAATTTGTCCAACGATTGGTCTGTTGCCTCAAAGATATGAAATAGTACCTTATAATAAATTGAATCTTATTAGAAATAATATCTTAACTTTAAGAAATAGAAATGTTTCTGTACTCTGAGTGAGGGAAAGCAGAGCTGCCCAATGTGAGTGGCACAATAGGTGAGTTAAATGTGGCTGCAGTTAAAGCAGCAGGTGCTGGAGGCTTGGATTCCCATGCCTACAGGATAACCGTGACAGCAATTCTGAAAACATCAGTTGTTGCTTCACCACTTTTATTTCATTAGAAATGGGAAATCACTGCGCGTTTCCCTCCGTGTTGCATTTGATGCAAACACAGGAGTAAGGCAGCGTCCCAAACGCTGCATGTTCAGGAAATGCAACGTCAGTGCCCTGGTGCTGCACCGCCTGTATGTGATGTGCAGAGGGCGAAGGAGGCTGCGGGCCCTTTCCTCGGGGCCGGCTCCTCTGTGCCCTGTTGCTGGCCGCAGAGAAGGGCTGCCCGCTGGGCACAGGGAGCGCCTTCTCGCCGCCGTCCCGTGCCCTGCAGCCCCCTCCTCATCCCGTGCGGAACGCCGCTCCCAGCAGCACAGGTGCCATTGTGGAACCTTCCCCATGTCACAGCCGTCACCTTGGTCACTGCCGCCCCACCCGGCGCACTCGTCTCTGAGAGTGCTGGGCAGGTGGCAGCCATGTCCAGCACGAAGAGAGCGAGAGCGGAGGAGGAGAGAGCGGTTTTAAATGGGAAGAGGGAGCTGGGGGCCCCAGAACCAAAGAGGAGGAGGGGGCCCACCATGACCATCAGGCAGAGGAGGGAGAGGAGGAAGGGAGCCCGGTTCCATCGCGCCCGGGCCAGCGCTGTGAGCGACCATGGGGAGCCCATGGAGGTGGATCCACCTCCAGAGGAGCCCATGGAGGTGGATCCGCCTCCAGAGGAACCCATGGAGGTGGATCCGCCTGCGGCACAGCTGGCCTGGCACCACACCACCGTGCCAGGCCCTGTGTTGGCGCGCTCACAGCTCCGCCATCGCTGGTCCGGGCGCTCGGCCCCTTACCCTCTGCGCGGCCCCCGCCCCCGGCATTAGCTGGGTGGCATTGCTAACATCTGCTCCTCCTCCACCTTGTTGCTCCTCTGCGGTTCTGCGGGCCCCCAGTTCCATCTTCCCCCCGTAGGAGTTAGGCTTTGTTCTGGGCTTTGTTGTTGATTTTAGTGTTAGCTTAGTTTTAGTGTTCAGTTCAGTTTTAGCGTTAGGCATAGGTTACTGTTAGGAGCTTAGAGTTAGGCATAGGTTACTGTTAGGAGCTTAGAGTTAGGCATAGGTTACTGTTAGGAGCTTAGAGTTAGGCATAGGTTGCTGCTGCCAGCTGGCAGTAAATGCTGCTCACTCGGTAAGCCCTCCCCTAATTTATCCTGCAGAGAAATGAGTGTGACTGCCCTGAGAAGGAAGGTTTGATGGCATCTGCAATGAATTGAATTTCTGTCTTGTGACTTTTCTGTTGCAGAACATCGAGGCATGTGAGTGGCTGAGAAATGGAGTTGGGACTCAGGGGAGCAATGGAGCAATGGGTCACAACCTTCCTGAGCGGCCCTTGCAAGGTATGTGTGCCTTACTGTGAGCATGCGCTAAGGCACTGCTGTTCAAACACAGCTGGTGGCACTGTCTGCAGCAGGTCTGCTTTCTGTTAAGCTTTTCCCTTCTTTTGTGTCCTCCTGTCCTTTTCAGCTCCTGCTCCCCTCGCCTGCAAGTGGAGCAATGCTCAAGCTTGAGGAATCTTTTCCTTGGCAGGTGGAAGACATGGCACAGCTGCAGGTTTTGTGTCCTTCGTTGTCATTGGGTCAGTAGAGCAAGGAGATGTTCAGAACAGCTCTAAGTCAGCCTGTAACAGCAGTGTGCGTGAGAGAATAACGACTCCTTCTCCCCTCTTGTAGAAAGCAGCCTCCTTGAGAGTAGGAGAGCAGCAGGCTGCCTGCTGTGTGGCTGCTGAAGGGCATTTCTCCCAGCTGAGATCCCCGAGCCCACGCTGGCGGAGAACGTGCTGTGCCACCATCTCTTCTGTGGAGCCACTTGGCAGCTGCTCTGCGTGAGCTGCAGTCGTGCCAGTTTCCAGGTGCCATAAGCCAGTAAGTCGTGCTCTCTGAGGCTGATAGCAAGGCACTGGCAATGGGCAGGGAGGGAACAATCTGTAGCTGTGGCCTACGGTGGTGTGCCCGGCACTGCTGAGCGTGCCATCGTTTGTCCTGCCCTTCCTTCCGTGTGCGCGTGTTCCTGATGCACGCCAGGAGCCTTGGGGTGCTGCTCATCTGCTGCTGCTGCTGCTGTGCTGTGTGTGCTGCCAGGCAGTGTCCAAGCCCTGTGCAGGCGCTGCCTTGCAGGAGATGGCTTTGAGTTCTGGTTTGTGTGGGACTTTTGGGCAGGAGATAGAGGTGGAGTTTCTGGCGTGCCCTGATAGCAGGAAGGCGGTTTCCAGTGCTGGCAGCCAAAGCTGCCCGGGCGGTGGCTTGAGCTCCCCACGCGAGCTGTCAGCCACTTGTTAGCTGTGAAGGTTCACTGACCGTTTCTGCCTTGATTCTTGTAGGACTGGCACAGTCTTGGGACTCGGTCTGGCGAGACAGTGAAGAAAGCCAAGGCAAGTGCTGCTCGGCTGCAGAAGAAAGCCCAGAAGGAGAGCAAAAAGAACTGAGAAGGGCTTGAGCGAGAAGGCCCACAGGACGCTCGAATCAGCTGGAATGCTTCCTCGGAGGTGGCACCAAAGGCAGCGGACTGAGTCACCTGGTTTTCTGGCATGGCCGTGCTTTCCCTGTCACGGACAGTGCAGCGGAACTGAGGCACCTGGAAGGGAAGGGCTTGTGCTGCATTCCAAGCAAAGAGGGCTTGCCAGAGGCAGGTCTTCATCTATGGCAAGAGATGGAGAGGCTGTGTTCCTTCTGGCTGCGTCTCTTCAGGGCCAGGGCCGGTCTAGTATGAGATTGAAGTACGGCTAGCTGGGCCTGGAGGGAGAGGACCTGACGTGGCCACAGGGTCAGGCTTCTCCTCGTGTCTGCCTGGAGGCTGAATTACTCATTGCTAAGCAGAAACCCTGAACGCTGGGGTTTCATTCTGGGCTGTGTTGATAAATACAACCCAGAGCCTTTTGTATTGAATAAAAGCGAAACCAACTTTTTAAACACGGTGCTGCCTCTTTCCGTAGCTGATCAAAAGGTCCCGTGCTTGGGCTGGCAGTCGTGGGGCCATGAACCTGTCGGCTCTCCCCTGAAATTCTGCTGGTTTTCCCCTGTTTCCTTGTTGGTCTTCCCAACGGGTGGCCTTTCAGCCCACCTGTAACTGCTGGCCACAGGCTGTGAGCATCCCTTTGCTCTCCAAGGACCGCTAGCAAAAGCACAAAGGAGGGGAAGCGGCCCGGGAGGAAGAAAGGCGTCCCTGCACTCAGCCCCTTGAGCTTGCCTCTCTTCCTGGTGGCTTTCTCAGCCTTGGGCTGTGCTGTGGGTTGCTGTTTGCCCCGGGAAGCCCAGCTGCATGTGGGCAGCCGTGGCCTGCACATCAGCCTCCCGATGAGGCACGAGGAGTTGAGGTGTGGGTGGGACGGCGTGAAGAGCAGCGCTGGGAGCGGGGAGGAGGAGAGGGCAGCGGGTGGGCGGCAGATGAATGTGCCTCGGAGCAGAGCTCAGCCTCCAGCTTGGAGGACACTGAGCCGTGCTGTGCTGCTGCAACTCCAGTGGCTTCAAGCGCGTTACGGCAGCGCCGCGTCTTGTGCCAGGGTGCTGCGAGGGCGCTTTGCTGAGCCATGAGGGGCGACTGCTTTGCCAAGTGTTTTCCTGTCGCTCCTTGGAGTTTCTGCGTTTGAATTACTGCACGATGATCTGCTGTTTAAACAGCTCCTCGTACCTCTGCATCATCTGCAGGCTGTGCTGCCAGGTCCCTGGTGGAGTGGTGGAACGTTACTGGTGCTGGGTAGAGGCCAAGGCACCTTTCTATCGACTGGCTTCCAGCTGAGCTTTTTGCCAGTTCTCGCAGCCCTCTCTGTCTGGCCCTTGGGGTAGTTTTGTGCCCACCTCGTAGCCCTCTTTTTTAGCTGGTATGTCATCAACTTGCCTATGAGGCTGTTGTGAGAGAGAGAGAGGAAAGCCTTACTGAGGTGGAGAGAAACAGAATTCACCAGTGTTTTCTTTCCCACCAAACTTCCCCACCCCTCCCCCCCGTACAAAGCTGTCACGTTGGTACCCAGTGGTTTCCCCTTTGTTTTCTGTCCCCCTTTTCCTTAACGAGTCCAGGGACGACTCCTATTTTGTTTGCATGTATTAAGCATGATGTAGTGATGTAGAATAAGGGGGGGAATGTCATGGTTTTATGCTTTGGGTTATCAGCATTCCACACATAACATGTAATGCACTGGGGGTTTGGCTGCTGATGCTCAAATTCCAGGTGCCTGTCTGGAGGAGAAGTAGAAACTATGGGAGCGCACGGCCATCAGGTCAACCCGTAATACTCTATTAGAGCGAACTGCAATCAGGTCAACCCTTAGAGCAGAGCACTACAGGAGCGCACGGCCGTCAGGTCAACCCTTAGAGCACTATGGGAGCGTACAGCCATCAGGTCAACCCCTAAAACTCGAAGGGTGCTAACGGCCATCAGGTCAACCCCTAAAACGCTTAGGGAGCGCACGGCCATCAGGTCAACCCATAGAGCTCTACGGGAGAGAACGGACATCCGGTCAACCCATAGAGCTCTATTGGAGTACACGAGCATCAGGTCAACCCGTATCTGTGACGACCCGGAATTGTGACGTCACAATGGGGTATTGTGAGGTCATAATGGGGCATTGCTACGTCATAATGGGGTATTGTGAGTCCATAATGAGGTATTGTTCTGGGAGAAAAAGCCACATTTAAGGGGTAAACCAGGGATTTATGGGAGAAAATCCCAGATTTAAGGGGAAGAACAAAGATTTCTGGGAGAAAAATTCACATTTAAGGACAAAAACCGGGATTTCTGGAGAAAACCCCTGATTTAAGGAATAAAACAGGCATTTCTTGGTGAAAACCCCAAGTTTTAAGTGGAAAAACAGGGATTACTGGGAGAAAAAGCCACATTTAATGGGAGAAACAGGGATTTCTGGCAGAAAACCCCAGATTGAAGGGGAAAAACAGGGATTTTGGGGAGAAAAAGCCACATTTAAGGAGAAAAGCAGGGATTTCTGGGAGAAAATCCCAGATTTAAGGGGAAAAACTGGGATTTCTGGGAGAAAAAGCCACATTTAATGGGAAAAAAACAGGGATTTCTGGGAGAAAACCCGAGATTTTGGGGGGAAAACAGGAATTAAAGGCTTTTCTGCCAGCAATCCCAGGTGTTCCCTTGAAATCTGGGATTTTCTCCCAGAAATCCCAGTTTTTCCACTTAAAGCGGGGGTTTTCTGCCAGAAAAACACCCCGAGCCCCTCCACCATCGCAGCTCCGTCCCGCCCCCGGACTCTCATTGGTCAGGGCCAGTTCCGGCCCGTTCCTGCCTCTCATTGGTCAGCCGCAGCGCCGCCAGCTCCGATTGGCTGAGGCGCAGCGCGCGGGAATGGCCGTTGGCAGCCGGCTCTCCCCTCAGACGGTGCCGGTCCCAGAGCCGCTGCGCGCCGGAGCTGTCCGGGCAGCACCGAGGCGGAACCGCGGCACGACGGGAGCGGTGCTGAGGACAGCGGCGCCGGATCCGGGAAGGACGGAGAGCGGCTCCGGGACAGGGAAGGAAGCGTGCGCGGCCATCAGCCACCTCCGTGTGGGGTGAGGGGCTGGGAGCGGGGCTGGGATGTGGGGATGTGGGTGGAGACAGGATGGGGTGTGGGGAAGTGGGATATATATGGGACGGGCTGTGGATGTGGGATCGGTATGGGGCTCCCGGGAGCTCTGGGAGAGATACAGGGGGCTGACGGGGAAATAGAGGGGGCGAGGAAGCTGTGGGGAGCTGGGGAGAGCTGCGGGGGGGCAGGGGGCTGCAGAAGGCTGTTGGGGTGCAGGGAGGCACACGGGGCTGGAGTGGGCTGTGGCAGGGGATTGGGGTACACAGGGCTGCAGGGGTGGGTCTGGGGGATTTGGGGCAATAGAGGGCTGTGAGGAGGTTCTAGGGGGACACGGTGCTATAGGGAAACATTCCTGTCCTTGTGGCCCCAGTTCCCAGCTCCCCAGACTGAGATGTATGGCTGCAGCTCACCACACGGCTTCTTTGGGACGGCTCTTGGGGAGGTTTGTGGAGGGGCTCCAGGGGCTGGGGAGAGCTGTGGGGAGGGATATAGGGGGCTGGGGGAGGATATAGGAGAATGTGGTTGTACAGATGTCTGTAAAAACAAAAGGAAAATAAAGGAAAAAAGGTAACGAAAAAAAGCCAAGTAAAAAGTGAAGAATAAGAGCTAGGAGAAGAATGGCTGGCAAGAAATATGGAGAGAGCAATGCACAGCATTGCGAAGGAAAGCCAGGCAAGAGTAGCAGCCAAAAGCAGGAGAATCCAGACGAATTCCGTGAAGAGCAGGAGAGGTAAGTTGGGCATAAGGCAAGGGGGAAGGGGAGTGGAGGGGAGAGGAGTGGAGGGGAAAGTGGGTGGGGTGGGGAGGGTTGAAGGGGAAATGTGGCTGAAGAAGCTTTAGTGTGAGATGCAGCAGGGATTTGCCAGTACGAAAGCCCTGATGGCTGTGTGTCCTTCCGAGCGGTCCCAGCGGCGCGTTGCACGTGGCCTGGAGAGAGCATTTGGAAAGCTGCCCAGTGCCAGGCTCCAGGTCGCCCTGGCCGCTCTGCAGCCTTGGCGATCACCGCCCGAGTCTCCCATCGCCTTACCTGACCCCTCCCCAGTCACCAGGGGAAAAGGAGATTTTGACATGCCATGGGAACGTGTCTCACCTGTTCTTGATTCTAGATGATGGCGCTGATGCTCCTTATCCCGAGGATTGGGTGGATACTGCTTTTGTGCCTCAGGGGAAACCCAGAGGTAAGTTGTGAGTGTCTTCGAAGGCAGAAAAAGTAGCGGTGTTGTAGTTTATGCAGGTACTGAAGAGCCTCCAAAGGTCTTTCAAGTCTCTTTGTGCCTTAAAGGCCCTGTTCTGTACACAGAACAGTCCTGAGTATTTCTTTACTTGGCTAACTGTCCCATTTCAGTGGGAAAGCAGCCCTGGCCACTCTTTGGAGGAGAGAACCTCTACGTTTGCCGTTTGGACCATGTCTTTCCCCGACCTGCCACCAGTCCTCAAAGGTCACTGCAGAAAGTCCAGGCGCCAAGGTGCAGTGGAAGCTGTCCTCACCTGTGTCTGATCACAGCTGTGCCTGCATGTCCTCTCGGTGAAGTACCAAAGCGGAGTCCTGTTGCTGAGCCTGGGCTGGATGCCAGAGGTGAGCCACCAGCCTTCATCTGTGGCTCTCTGCTCGTATGTGGCTGCGGTCGTTCAGGCAGGGTTCAGCTTTTCACTGCCCAGTGATTTCTACTCCACGAGAAGCCTGGGTAGTCCCTGTTTCTTGGGTGCTGCGAGCTCCCAGTGTCCTGTTGGCTTTGTCTCTGTAACATCAGAGATCTCTCCAGTAAGAAAACCCAGATGTTCTTCCATGCTGCCGCTGAGGATTGTTTCACACAAGCTGGAGAGAGTATGGGGAAAGCTGCTGAGCGCCAGCCAGCTGCCCACCTGGCAGCTCTGCCACTTGCATAACTCTGCTCCGCAGCTGCGTAGATGGCAGCGTGTGATGGAAAGTTCTCCTCAGCCTTTGGGTGCAGAAGTGCCTGCAGGGAAGGCCGGGCAAAAATCCTTGGCTGCCTGCCGTGCCGGAGCCCCACAGGCGTCCCAGGGGCGGCTGTTGTCTTTATTGACTTCACCAAAAAGACCATTCGGTTCAATCCTTTGTTTGTCTGAAATGTATTTTCGTGCTTTCTGTTCAGGTCCTGAGAGACAGAAAGAGGCATGGAGAATTGGAGAACATCCGCAGAGGCTCTGCCGTGTCCTGGAGAAAATGGTGAAGGAGAAGGCAGCACAGGGTGGGTGTCTTTGTGTCTGTTCACTGAAGGACTGGGGAAGCGGAGTTTCTAGATAGATACATGGATGGGATGCAGGTGCTGGGATGGTGCTGGGATGGGGCTGGGATGTGCTTGAATGGTGCTGGAATATGGTGGGACGGTGCAGGGCTGGTATGGGATGGTGTGAGATGATGCTGTGATTTGATGGGGTGGTGCTGGGATGTGCTGGGATGTGCTGGGATGTTCTGGGATGGTGCAGGAAAGGTGTAGGATGGTTCAGGGACATGCTGGGATGTCCTGGGATGGTAGTGGGATGTCCTTGGATGGTGCTGGTATGCGGCTGGGATGTGCTAGGATGGTGTGAGAATGTGTTGGGATGGTTCTGGGATGTTCTGGGAAGGTGTGGGATGTGCTGGGATATGCTGGGATGTGCTGGGATGGTGCTGGGATGTCCTTGGATGGTTCTGATAAGGGGCTGGCATGTGCTGGGGTGGTGCTGGGACGTACTGGGTTGTGCTGGGATGGTATAGGACGGTGTGGAATTGTGTGGGACGTGCTGGGTTGCGCTGGGATGGGGTGGGATGGTGTGGAATTGTGTGGGACGTGCTGGGTTGTGCTGGGATGGGGCTGGGATGTTTTTGGATAGTGCTGGGATGTGCTGGGATGGTGTGGGGCTGTGATGGGATTGTGGTGGGATGTTCTGGGAAAGTGTTGGATGGTTCTGTGATGGGGCTGGGATGTTCTGGGATGTGTTGTGATGTGCTGGGATGGCTCTGGGATGGTGCTGGGATGTTACTGGGATGTGCTGGAATGTGCTGGAATATGCTGGGGTGTGCAGGGCTGGGTCTGGGCAGTGACTGGGATGTGCTGGGATGGCATGGGCTGTTCTGGGATGTGCTTGAATAGTGCTGGAATGGTGCTGGGATGATGCTAGGATGTGCTGGGATGTGGCTGGGTTGTACTGGGATGGTGTGGGATGCAGCTGGGATGGTGCTGGGATGTGCTTGAATGGTGCTGGAACGTGCTGGGATGGTCCTGGTTGTGCAGGGATGGTGTGGGATGATGCTGGGATGTGCTGGGTTGTGCTGGGATGGTGTGGGAACTTGATGGGATGTGCTAGGATGATGCTGGGGTGTGCTGGGCTGTTGCTGGCATGTGCTGGGATGGTGCTTGAATGGTTCTGCGATGGTGCTGGGATGGTGTGGGATTGTGATGTGATTTTGCTGGGGTGTTGCTCAGATATACTGGGATGTGCTGGGATGTACTGGGAAGTTCTGGGTTGGGGCTGGCATGTGCTGGGATATGCTGGGACATACTGGGATGGTGCTGGGATGTTCTGGGATGTTCTGGGATGGTGCTGGAATGTGACGGGATATGCTGGGATGATGCTGGGATGGGGCTGGGATGTTTTTGGATAGTGCTGGCATGTGCTGGGATGGTGTGGGGCTGTGATGGGATTGTGGTGGGATGTTCTGGGACAGTGTGGGATGGTTGTGTGATGGGGCTGGCATGTTCTGGGATGTGTTGTGATGTGCTGGGATGGCTCTGGGATGTGCTGGAATGTGCTGGAATATGCTGGGGTGTGCAGGGCTGGGTCTGGGCAGTGACTGGGATGTGCTGGGATGGCGTGGGCTGTTCTGGGATGTGCTTGAATAGTGCTGGAATGGTGCTGGAATGGTGCAGGGATGATGCTAGGATGTGCTGGGATGGTGCTGGGTTGTACTGGGATGGTGTGGGATGCAGCTGGGATGGTGCTGGTTTGTGCTGTGATGGTGTGGAGGATGTGTGATGGGGCTGGGAGGTGCTGGAATGGTGCTGGGATGGTGCTGAGATCGTGTGGAATAGTATGGGATGTTAGGGTTGTGCTGGGATGAGCTGGGATGTGGCTGGGATGTGGTGGGATGGTGCTGGGACGTGTTGGGATGTGTTGGGATGTACTGGGATGGGGCTCGAATGTGCTGGGGTGTTCTGGGATGGTGCTGGGAAGGTGTGGGATGGTTCTGGGATATGCTGGGATGCGGTGGGCTTGTGCTGGGATGTCCTGGAATGTGCTGGGGTGTGCTGGGTTGGGGCTGGGATGTGCTGGGATGGTGCTGGGTTGTGCTGGGATGTTGTGGGATGATGCTGGGATATGCTGGGACGTGCTGGAATCTGCTGGGATGGTGCTGGGAAGGTATGGGATGGTTCTAGGATACGCTGGGATGCAGTGGGCTGGTGCTGGGATGTCCTGGGATGGTGCTAGTATGGGGCTGGGATGGTTCTGGGATGTGCTGGGATGTGCTGGGATGGTTCTCAGATGTGCTGTGATGAGTTGGGGTGTGGTTGGGATGTGCTGGGACATGCTGGGATGGTGCTGGGACGTGTTGGGATGTGGTGGGATGTACTGGGATGTGCTGGGATGTGCTGGGCTGTACTGGGACGTGCTGGCATCTGCTGGGACGTTCTGGGATGGTGCTGGGAAGGTGTGGGATGATTCTGGGATGGTTGGGATGTCCTGGGATGGTGCTGGTATGGAGCAGAGATATTGTGGGCTGGTGCTGGGAAGGTGCTGGGTAGGTGCTGGGAAGGTGCTGGGATGGTGTGGAATTGTGTGTGACTTGCTGGGTTGTGCTGGGATGGGGCTGGGACCGGCTGGGATGTTCTGGGATGGTGCTGGGATGTTCTGAATTGGTGTGGAATGTGCTTGAATGGTGCTCAGATGGGGCTGGGATGCTGAGCGCCAGCCAGCTGCCCACCTGGCAGCTCTGCCACTTGCATAACTCTGCTCCGCAGCTGCGTAGATGGCAGCGTGTGATGGAAAGTTCTCCTCAGCCTTTGGGTGCAGAAGTGCCTGCAGGGAAGGCCGGGCAAAAATCCTTGGCTGCCTGCCGTGCCGGAGCCCCACAGGCGTCCCAGGGGCGGCTGTTGTCTTTATTGACTTCACCAAAAAGATCATTCGGTTCAATCCTTTGTTTGTCTGAAATGTATTTTCGTGCTTTCTGTTCAGGTCCTGAGAGACAGAAAGAGGCATGGAGAATTGGAGAACATCCGCAGAGGCTCTGCCGTGTCCTGGAGAAAATGGTGAAGGAGAAGGCAGCACAGGGTGGGTGTCTTTGTGTCTGTTCACTGAAGGACTGGGGAAGCGGAGTTTCTAGATGGATACATGGATGGGATGCAGGTGCTGGGATGGGGCTGGGATGTGCTTGAATGGTGCAGGAATGTGGTGAGACGGTGCAGGGATGGTGCAGGGCTGGTATGGGATGGTGTGAGATGATGCTGTGATTTGATGGGGTGGTGCTGGGATGTGCTTGTATGGTGCTGGTATGGGGTAGACTTGTGCTTGAATGGTTCTGGGACGGGCTGGGTTGTGCTGGGTTGTGCTGGGATGGTGTGGAATTGTGTGGGACGTGCTGGGTTGTGCTGGGATGGGGCTGGGATGTTTTTGGATAGTGCTGGGATGTGCTGGGATGGTGTGGGGTGCAGCTGGGATGGTGCTGGGATGTTCTGGGATATGCTGGGATGTTTTTGGCTAATGCTGGGATGTGCTGGTGTAATAGGAGCAATCTGTTGTTTGTTAATCTATTCATTTGTAATCTTATCACTGGTAAACTGTAACAACAGCAGGGCCCAGTTTCCTACTATAGACATCCGGAAACACCAACAAACACAGCAATTTAAGGTATGGACCCCAGGACTTACACAGCTTTAAAGATTCTGCGTAGGGATTATGAACGGATGTATTGCAAAGATGCCAGGCCTCCCCATCTGACAAGACAAAGGATGGCTGCCTAACAACAGGACCACACCTGCGCAAGAGATATTGTGCAGCCACGAACACAGGCTAGTGAACTGTATAAAGACTGCCAGCTGGAAAGGGAAAGCGCGCGCCGTTGGTGGAGCAGAGACTCCCCGGCCGCCCAGCGCTGTTTTGCTTACTTGCTTGCTTTAATAAAAGACGATTTCCATAATATATAATTGGTTGTTCAATTTGTTTGGCATAATATATAACACTGGGATGGTGTGGGCTGCAGCTGGGATGGTGCTGGGTTGTGCTGGGATGGTGTGGGATGGTGCTGCAAAGTGGTGGAATGTTCTGTGATGCAGCAGCTGGGATGAGATGTGCTGGGATGGTTCTGGGATGTTCTGTAATGGTGTGGGATGTGCATGAATGGTGCTTAGATGGTGCTGGGATGGGCTGGGACGTGCTGGGATGTTACTTGGATGTGGCTGGGATGTGTTGTGATGGTGCTGGGATTTGCTGGGATGAGCTGGGATGGGGCTGGGATGGGGCTAGGATTTGCTGTGATGGTGTGGGAATGTGATGGGACGGTGCTGGGATGTGCTGCGATGTGGTGGGATGTTCTGGGAGGCAGTGACTCGGATGAGATGTGCTGGGATGGGCTGGGATGTGCTGGGATGTGCTGTGATGGTGCTTGGATGTGGTGGGATGGGTCTGGGATTTGCTGGGTTGGGACCGGAATGTGATGGGATGGTCTAGGATGGTGCTGGGATGGTGCTGGGTTGTGCTGGGATATGCTGGGGTGTTCTGGGCTGGGGCTGGTTCTGGTGTTGGGATGGTGTGGGATGATGCTGGCATGTGCTGGAATGGTGCTGGGATGTGCTGGGTTGTTCTGGGTGGTGCTGGGAAGGTGTAGGATGGTTCTGGGATATGTTGGGATGCAGTGGGCTGGTGCTGGGATGTGCTGTGATGGTGCTGGTATGGGGCTGGGTTGTGCTGGGATGTGCTGGGATGTGCTGGGATGGTGTGGGATGGTGCTGGGATATTGTGGGATGCAGCGGCTGGGATGAGATGTGCTGGGATGTGCTGGCATTATCCTTGGACATGCTGGGGTGTTGTGGGAAGTGCTGGGATGGTGCTGGGATGGTGCTGGGATGTTCTGTCATGGTGTGGGATGTGCTTGAATGGTGCTCAGATGGGGCTGGGATGCTGAGCGCCAGCCAGCTGCCCACCTGGCAGCTCTGCCACTTGCATAACTCTGCTCCGCAGCTGCGTAGATGGCAGCGTGTGATGGAAAGTTCTCCTCAGCCTTTGGGTGCAGAAGTGCCTGCAGGGAAGGCCGGGCAAAAATCCTTGGCTGCCTGCCGTGCCGGAGCCCCACAGGCGTCCCAGGGGCGGCTGTTGTCTTTATTGACTTCACCAAAAAGACCATTCGGTTCAATCCTTTGTTTGTCTGAAATGTATTTTCGTGCTTTCTGTTCAGGTCCTGAGAGACAGAAAGAGGCATGGAGAATTGGAGAACATCCGCAGAGGCTCTGCCATGTCCTGGAGAAAATGGTGAAGGAGAAGGCAGCACAGGGTGGGTGTCTTTGTGTCTGTTCACTGAAGGACTGGGGAAGCGGAGTTTCTAGATAGATACATGGATGGGATGCAGGTGCTGGGATGGTGCTTGGATGTTCTGGGATGGTGCAGGGATGTGCTGCGATGGTGCTGGGACGTGCTGGGTTGTGCTGGGATGGGGCTGGGATGTTTTTGGATAGTGTTGTGATGTGCTGGGATGGTGTGGGCTGCAGCTGGGATGGTGCTGGGTTGTGCAGGGATGGTGTGGGATGGTGCTGCAAAGTGGTGGAATGTTCTGTGATGCAGCAGCTGGGATGAGATGTGCTGGGATGGTTCTGGGATGTTCTGTAATGGTGTGGGATGTGCATGAATGGTGCTTAGATGGTGCTGGGATGGGCTGGGACGTGCTGGGATGTTACTTGGATGTGGCTGGGATGTGTTGTGATGGTGCTGGGATTTGCTGGGATGTGCTGGTATGTGGCTGGGATTTGCTATGATGGTGTGGGAATGTGATGGGATGGTGCTGGGATGTGCTGGGAATTTGATGGGATTTTGCTGGGATGTGCTGTGATGTGGTGGGATGTTCTGGGATGCAGCGGCTGGGATGAGATGTGATGGGATGTGCTGGGATGTTCTGTAATGGTGTGGGATGTGCTTGAATGGTGCTTACATGGTGCTGGGATGGGCTGGGACGCGCTGGGATGTTTCTTGGATGTGGCTGGGATGTGCTGTGATGGTGCTGGGATGTGCTGGGATGGGGCTGGGATTTGCTATGATGGTGTGGGAATGTGGTGGGATGTTGCTGGGATGTGCGGCGATGTGTTGGGATGTTCTGGGATGCAGCGGCTGGGATGAGATGTGATGGGATGTGCTGGGATTTGCTGGGATCATCCTTGGACATGCTGGAGTGTTGTGGGATGGTGCTGGTATGTACTGGGAAAGTGCTGGGATGTTCTTTCATGGTGTGAGATGTTGTGTGATGGGGCTGGGAGGTGCTGGAATCATGCTGGGATGATGCTGGGATCGTGCAAAATAGTATGGGATGTCTGGGTTCTGCTGGGATGGTGGTCAGATGTGCAGGGATGATGCTGGTTTGATGCTTGGATGTGCTGGGATGGGGCTGGGATGGTGTGGGATGAGCTAGGATGTGCTGGGATGTACTGGGGTGTGCTGGGATGGTGCTGGGATGAAGCTGGGATCACAGAATCACACAGAATCACAGAATTGTAGGGGTTGGAAGGGACCTCCAGAGCTCATCGAGTCCAACCCCCTGCCAAAGCAGGTTCCCTACACCAAGTCACACAGGTCGGCATCCAGGCAGGTCTTGAACATCTCCAGAGCAGGAGACTCCACCACCTCCCTGCAGCCTGTTCCAGTGCTCCTCACCTCACTGTAAAGAAGTTCTTGCACACATTGGTGCGAAACTTGCTATGCTGCAGTTTCCAGCCATTTCCCTTTGTCCTGTCTCCACTCACCACTGAAAAGAGTCCGGCCTCGCCATTTTGCCCCCCACACCTCAGATACTGATAGACCTGGATCAGCTCCCCCCTCAGTCTTCTTTTCTCAAGGCTGAACAGACCCAGTTCACTCAGCCTTTCCCCATAGCAGAGATGCTCCAGGCCCCTCCCCATCTTGGTGGCCCTCTGCTGGACTCTTCCCAAGAGATCCCTGTCTGTTTTGTACTGGGGAGCCCAGAACTGGACGCAGTGCTCCAGATGAGGCTTTACCAGGGCAGAGCAGAGGGGGAGGATCACCTCCCTCCACCTGCTGGCCACGCTCTTTGCAATGCACCCCAGGATGCCATTGGCCCTCTTGGCCACAAGGGCACACTGCTGGCTTATGGCCAACCTGTCATCCACCAGGACACCCAGGTCCCTCTCCGCAGAGCTCCTCTCCAGCAGCTCATCCCCCAACCTGTACCGGTGCATGCAATTATTCCTCCCCAGATGCAAGACTCTACAATTGCTGTTGTTAAACCTCATCCATTATTTTACTGCCCAGCTCTCCAGCCTGTCCAGGTCTAGCTGAATGGCAGCATGGCCTTCAGCCAATCCTCCCGACTTCGTGTCATCAGCAAACTTGCTGAGGGTGGCCACCATCCCCTCATCAAGGTCATTGATGAAGATGTTGAACAAGACCGGACCCAGCACCGACCCCTGGGGACACCGCTGGTTACAGGTCTCCAGCCAGACTCTGCACCGCCAATGACGACCCTCTGCGCTCTGCCAGTCAGCCAGTCCTCAACTCACCTCACTGTCCACTCGTCTGTCCCACACTTGCTCAGCTTTGGATGTCGTGGGGGACAGCATCAAAAGCCTTGCTGAAATCAAGGTAGGCTACATCCACTGCTCTCCCCCCATCCACCCAGCCATAGACAACATCACAGAAGGCCACCAGGTTGGTGGAGCACGACCTTCCCTTGGTGAACCCATGCTGACTACTCTTGATCATCTCTTTCCAGCTGTCTGGAGATGGCATCCAGCACAGCTGTTCCATCACCTTTCCAGGGACAGAGGTGAGGCTGACTGGCCTATAACTGCCTGGATCTGCCTTCTTGCCCTTTTTGAAGACCGGAGTGACATTGCCTATCCTCCACTCTTCAGGCTCCATTCCCCTCTCCTCCTCTCCCCTCCCTTCCCTTTTCTTACTCTCCATGCCCTCTATCCAGCTCTGAAGTGGAGATGCCTCGATGCCAGCGGTTGATGGGCTGGTTTGGCCCGGTTCCATGACCAGCGGGGCGGAGGGATCCACGGGTCCGCAAAAGGGAAACAGGGGATCCCAAAATGATTGAAAACAGTGGCAACGATCTCAGGTGGAACAAACTAATTTACTAAATATGGTATCAGCAAAATAGAATGAGAGAGAGAGAGAGAGAGAGAGTGTGTCTGAAAAGTAGATAGGCCTCACCACAGCGCTGAGGAGAGAACTGCGGTCCAGTTGAGCCAAAGAAGAGAAGCAGGCGGAGAAGCGAAGACGAGAACATCAGGGGGCTTGGCCAGGAGCTGTATGTCCTTGCTGACCGCAAAGCCCGCAAAGACCGCTGACGCAGCCAGAAGGAACACAGCCTCTCCATCTCTTGCCATAGATGAAGACCTGCCTCTGGCAAGCCCTCTTTGCTTGGAATGCAGCACAAGCCCTTCCCTTCCAGGTGCCTCAGTTCCGCTGCACTGTCCGTGACAGGGAAAGCACGGCCATGCCAGAAAACCAGGTGACTCAGTCCGCTGCCTTTGGTGCCACCTCCGAGGAAGCATTCCAGCTGATTCGAGCGTCCTATGGGCCTTCTCACTCAAGCCCTTCTTTGTTCTTTTTGCTCTCCTTCCGGGCTTTCTTCTGCAGCAGAGCAGCACTTGCCATGGCTTTCTTCACTGTCTCGCCAGACCGAGTCCCAAGACTGTGCCAGTCCTACAAGAATCAAGGCAGAAACGGTCAGTGAACCTTCACAGCTAACAAGTGGCTGACAGCTCGCGTGGGGAGCTCAAGCCACCGCCCGGGCAGCTTTGGCTGCCAGCACTGGAAACCGCCTTCCTGCCATCAGGGCACGCCAGAAACTCCACCTCTATCTCCTGCCCAAAAGTCCCACACAAACCAGAACTCAAAGCCATCTCCTGCAAGGCAGCGCCTGCACAGGGCTTGGACACTGCCTGGCAGCACACACAGCACAGCAGCAGCAGCAGCAGATGAGCAGCACCCCAAGGCTCCTGGCGTGCATCAGGAACACGCGCACACGGAAGGAAGGGCAGGACAAATGATGGCACGCTCAGCAGTGCCGGGCACAGCACCGTAGGCCACAGCTACAGATTGTTCCCTCCCTGCCCATTGCCCGTGCCTTGCTATCAGCCTCAGAGAACACGACTTACTGCCTTATGGCACCTGGAAACTGGCACGATTACAGCCAGCGCACAGAGCAGCTGCAAAGTGGCTCCACAGAAGAGATGGTGGCACAGCACGTTCTCCGCCAGCGTGGGCTCAGAGATCTCAGCTGGGAGAAATGCCCTTCAGCAGCCACACAGCAGGCAGCCTGCTGCTCTCCTGCTCTCAAGGATGCTGCTTTCTACAAGAGGGGAGAAGGAGTCGTTATTCTCTCACGCACACTGCTGTTACAGGCTGACTTAGAGCTGTTCTGAACATCTCCTTGCTCTACTGACCCAATAACAAAGAAGGACACAAAACCTGCAGCTGTGCCATGTCTTCCACCTGCCAAGGAAACGATTCCTCAAACTTGAGCATTGCTCCACTTGCAGGCGTGGGGAGCAGGAGCTGAAAAGGACAGGAGGACATAAAAGAAGGGAAAAGCTTAACAGAAAGCAGACCTGCTGCAGACAGTGCCACCAGCTGTGTTTGAACAGCAGTGCCTTAGCGCACGCTCACAGTAAGGCACTCCTACCTTGCAAGGGCCGCTCAGGAAGGTTGTGACCCATTGCTCCATTGCTCCCCTGAGTCCCAACTCCATTTCTCAGCCACTCACATGCCTCGATGTTCTGCAACAGAAAAGTCACAAGACGGAAATTCAATTCATTGCAGACGCCATCAAACCTCCCTTCTCAGGGCAGTCGCACTCATTTCTCTGCAGGATAAATTAGGGGAGGGCTTACCGAGTGAGCAGCATTTACTGCCAGCTGGCAGCAGCAACCTATGCCTAACTCTACACTCCTAACAGTAACCTATGCCTAACTCTAAGCTCCTAACAGTAACCTATGCCTAACTCTACACTCCTAACAGTAACCTATGCCTAACTCTAAGCTCCTAACAGTAACCTATGCCTAACTCTAAGCTCCTAACAGTAACCTATGCCTAACTCTAAGCTCCTAACAGTAACCTATGCCTAACGCTAAAACTGAACTCAACACTAAAACTAAGCTAACACTAAAATCAACAACAAAACCCAGAACAAAGCCTAACTCCTACGGGGGGAAGATGGAACTGGGGGCCCGCAGAACCGCAGAGGAGCAACAAGGTGGAGGAGGAGCAGATGTTAGCAATGCCACCCAGCTAATGCCGGGGGCGGGGGCCGCGCAGAGGGTAAGGGGCCGAGCGCCCGGACCAGCGATGGCGGAGCTGTGAGCGCGCCAACACAGGGCCTGGCACGGTGGTGTGGTGCCAGGCCAGCTGTGCCGCAGGCGGATCCACCTCCATGGGTTCCTCTGGAGGCGGATCCACCTCCATGGGCTCCTCTGGAGGCGGATCCACCTCCATGGGCTCCCCATGGTCGCTCACAGCGCTGGCCCGGGCGCGATGGAACCGGGCTCCCTTCCTCCTCTCCCTCCTCTGCCTGATGGTCATGGTGGGCCCCCTCCTCCTCTTTGGTTCTGGGGCCCCCAGCTCCCTCTTCCCATTTAAAACCGCTCTCTCCTCCTCCGCTCTCGCTCTCTTCGTGCTGGACATGGCTGCCACCTGCCCAGCACTCTCAGAGACGAGTGCGCCGGGTGGGGCGGCAGTGACCAAGGTGACGGCTGTGACATGGGGAAGGTTCCACAATGGCACCTGTGCTGCTGGGAGCGGCGTTCCGCACGGGATGAGGAGGGGGCTGCAGGGCACGGGACGGCGGCGAGAAGGCGCTCCCTGTGCCCAGCGGGCAGCCCTTCTCTGCGGCCAGCAACAGGGCACAGAGGAGCCGGCCCCGAGGAAAGGGCCCGCAGCCTCCTTCGCCCTCTGCACATCACATACAGGCGGTGCAGCACCAGGGCACTGACGTTGCATTTCCTGAACATGCAGCGTTTGGGACGCTGCCTTACTCCTGTGTTTGCATCAAATGCAACACGGAGGGAAACGCGCAGTGATTTCCCATTTCTAATGAAATAAAAGTGGTGAAGCAACAACTGATGTTTTCAGAATTGCTGTCACGGTTATCCTGTAGGCACGGGAATCCAAGCCTCCACCACCTGCTGCTTTAACTGCAGCCACATTTAACTCACCTATTGTGCCACTCACATTGGGCAGCTCTGCTTTCCCTCACTCAGAGTACAGAAACATTTCTGTTTCTTAAAGTTAAGATATTATTTATAATAAGATTCAATTTATTATAAGGTATTATTTCATATCTTTGAGGCAACAGACCAATCGTTGGACAAATTCCACATGGGTATGAAATGTCTGTGCCCACATTGCTCTCAGGAGGTGCAGTGTATGAACATTTAAAGCCACACAGCAGATTATGTCCTGCAACAGTGACTTTCCTTCTGCTTATTTATACCACTTCCTTACTGTTTGACTTCTTTCTAATTTGAGGACAGCAAGTCGTCTCACTGACTTAGCAGTTCACAGCCAGCATAACTGCTTAAAATTTAATTCCTTTCTTGATTAAACCACACACACACACGCACACACGCACACACACTTGAAGGTCTACTGGGTCAAACAGTTTAGAAAACCCTCACTTTAAAAGCTGTTGGCAATTTCTGTTGTGCAGCAAAAGGCAGATGTGACGTGTATTTTGGTGTGCTTAAAATAAGAGAACAGAAAAGGCAGCAGAAAAATACATTCAGCTCGTAGCCGGGTGGAAGAGGACCTTGGCTGACCGTAGTTATGCCCGAGTTGGAGGACTTGCTGGCTGCTCTTGTCTTGGTGAGGATGTGCTGAGCGCAGCAGCTGCAGGAGCTGTTGTTGTGCTGCTGCCCCCTCCGGGCTCGGTTCTGAAGACGTTTTGCAGCTGCCAGTGAACTGCACTGGCCCCACCGTTCTCTGTGGACGTGGATGCAGAACCATTCACGCTTCCTCTGACGCCAGACGTGTCAGAAGAACAGAAAAATCTTTACTTGGTGTTTCTCTCCTCGTTGGAAACCTATTTCAGAATTTGTAAGTCACAAAAGTAAACGTGCAAAAGGTGGTGGTTTGAAGTCGGGCACACATGTAGCCACGTTTTCTACTGCACACACAAAAGGCAGCTTAGCTGCACTCTGTAAAAATGCTGCAGTCCAAGAACTGCTATCAGCTGCACAGCTTTGACATTACAAAGAAAAGTTATTCACCAAACAACTTGTCTGCATTCTCTGAACATTGGATGATTGTAAAGAAAAAGCCACCTGCTTGCACTGATGGATTTCCCATTTATTATTTGCAACAGCTTCAGAGGCAGCATGCGTAACAGTGCCAAGAAGAGATGTGACACAACGTGGAAAAATTAAGGCTGTGGAAGGGAGAATACATGCCCTCTGTAAATGCTGTCAGATTTTTTTTCCATGCAGGCCATTTGGGATGCAGTAGTAAGAACTGTACTCAAGTCTTATTACTAAGCTACACTGCCTTTATCTTTTCAATTACTGCAGCCTGGTTTTCCATCCAGCCTCAGTATCTATCAACTGGGGGGGCCTCTTCAAACCTCACAGAGATGGGAACATGCCTCGGTCATCCTGATGCCCTGCAAAGTATCATCACACCTACGGGGCCTAGAGGGAGGATTCCTTCGTACATGGAAGGGTTTGGGCTGGAAAGGACCTTTAAGATCACCTAGTGCCAACTCCCCTGCTATAAGCAGGGACACCTTCTGCTAGACCAGATTGCTCAAAGCCCCATCCAGGCTGACCTGGAATGCTTCCAGGGAGGAGGAAGCATCCACAACCTCTCTGGGCAACCTCTTTCAGTGTGTCACCACCATCACAGTAAAGAATTTTCTTCCTAATATCGAGTCTAAGATTCATTCTAGTTTCTTCTTGCACCAGCAGCCAGGAAAAGTTGCCCCAGAATTTCCAACAACTCTACACATACACGTACACACAAACACATCATCTCAAATCCATGTACAGATCTGATGTGAAACTCACCAGTGAGCAAGATGTGCCCTGCAGCACCTACCCATGGGCATACACACGCTCTCTTGGATCCTTAAGATTGGGCCTAGGCTTTGGGTGCACCCAGGTGCCCTGCCTGGGATCTGAGTTATTACCCTTGTGGCAGCCACGACTCTGGGTCTCTGCAGAGCCTGCTGTCTTCCTCCTCCTGCAGCCATCCCCACCTTGGCCAGCAAAGCATGCAGACATTCAGCCCAAAGACACACAAGAGTGAGTGTTGTCTGAAACACCATTATCTACATTTTCAAGTTCTGAGATCCTAAGCTTGCTGTGGAGAGCCTGGAAGCTCTGAGCTCTCTCACTCGACCCCACATTGTGGATGTTGAAGTTGGAATTATCAGTCAGAGTCTTAGTTTTGATGTCATCTACCCGCAAAGCCTTTGCCGTGGTCCCTCCCCACATCCTTCTCTCTAAATTGGAGAGGTGTGGATTTGAAGGATGGACTGTTCAGTGGATTAAGAATTGGTTGGCTGGTCCCAGCAAAGGGTTGTGATCAATGGTTTGTGTCCGGGTGGAGGCCGCTCACAAGCGGTGTCCCTCAGGGGTCGGTCCTGGGACCGGTGCTCTTCAACATCTTCATCAGTGACAGACGATGGCATCAAGGGCACCTCAGCAAGTTTGCAGATGGCACCAAGCTGAGCGGTGCAGTTGATACATTGGAAGGAAGGGAAGCCATCCAGAGGGAGCTGGACAGGCTGGAGAAGTGGGCCCATGCAAACATGATGAGGTTCAATAAGGCCAAGTGCAGGGTGCTACACTGGGTCGGGGCAATGCCAGGTATTTATACAAACTGGGGGAAGATCTCCTGGAGAGCAGCCCTGCAGAGAAGGACTTGGGGGTCCTGGTGGACGAGAAGCTGGACATGAGCCAGCAGCGTGATTGCGGCCTGGAAGGCCAGCTGTGTTCTGGGCTGCATTAAAGAAGGGGCGGCCAGCAGGAGAGGGAGGTGATCGTCCTCCAATTAGAAACTGGGCGATAGAAACTAGGCGTGCGTGTGAAGAGAGTGAAGGTGGGCACCGATGCTGGTATCCAGGAGGTCCCCTGTTCTGCTACTGAGCTGGCCAAATTCCAGAAGGATTTTGGTCACACTCGTAGGAAATCAGAGACAGAGTATGAATGGAAAATGCCACTAACGGGGAGAACAGATGCTGTTAACTGAAAAGGAATCCGAGGGGTTTTGGGGACCCAGAATATCTTTCACCCTGGCAACCACTGTGCCCTGTGGTCCCTTACTCAAAGAGCTGCTTGCTGGGATGGCTTCTCCCCAGGACAACTGGCGTTGGTTGGTTTGCTGCACATTGGTCCTGTGTCCTTAACCACTTCTTTGCACACAGCTTTCCAGAGCTGTGTCATTAAAAATAAACCTGTGATCCACAGACGTTTCATCTGTGATGCTTTTGAAGTTGTGTTACAATGAATTTCACATGGTTCCTGTGTTCTACTGGGGAACCTAACTTTAATTTCATGCCTCTTTTCCTAGAGAAGCTCAGCACAGCTGGTGCACCATCTCAACTCTTGCTTTCAACCCCCAGGTTCCCGCAGGTCTGACTCCCAGCTCAGCACATCTCCTGGCTGCTCCTCCTGGAAATGGGCTCTGGCCACCAGCAGCAGCAGGGGAACTTGTCTGTGCCCAGCTGTCACTCAGGCTGCTGCCTCTTATTCATCTCTTGCTCGTCCATTCATCTTGTGTGAAAAGAAAATTCTCCATCGCTCTGCTGCGTTCTGTTTGCAAGCAAGGCAAATTTTTCTATTTTATTCTTTTGTTTGTTGGTTTGTTGCTGTTACGTTCAAGTGATGCCCTCCTCCCCAGAGCTGGATCAGCCCAGAAGTGTTTCCCACTCCTGCACTTCTCTGTTTAACGCACTATACTGCACTTGGTGAATGACCAGATTTTATGCTTTCCAGGTGATTGTGAAGCAATCGCCGTTGTATCTTGATTTCTCTAGAGACTTATTTCTGCCTAGGGCAGCACACACTGCTAACCTACAGCAGCTATCATTTCTATTTCTGCACTGAATGAACACTCAGAGTATTTAGGGCCCCGATGTCCCGATCCTCTGGGCTATGGATGCTGTGGCCGTGGAAGTGAGACAGAGTAACTGAAGATGGAGGAGCGTTTCATGAGAGCAAACTGATCAATTGTGTACCTGCAGCTTGTCTCTCCAGCTCACAACCTTTCACGAATAATGGAAGGTGTGCAAGATGAATGGCACGTTTGTCCCAGTCCTCCTCCTCCTCTCCCTCCCCTCGCCCCTTGTTCCACCCCTCCCCTACCTCACACCTGGATGCATCTGTCCCTGCCTCCAGGAGACAAAGCTGCTGTGGGCGCCATCCTGCTCGAACTGCAGGGGACTTGTTTGCACGGTGCTCTGCTTACTGATGCCCTAGCACCAGGAGAACACAAAGTAAGTCACAGTCTCGTTAAGCTCCTGCTTAATGAACGTGTTGAAGTACCTTTCTGACTGGAGGAAGAAACACTGAACGATGTTGCTATGATGGTAAGGTAAGTGGATGAGGCGGTGGGTGTAGATGCAGTTTGCAGGAGTGGGCAGGCAGAGCACAAGCAGCCATTCCACTGTACAAAAGCTCAAATAGGATTTTATTGTCAGTTTGCAAAACAGATTTAAAAGATCTTTATTTGAAACAGTCACAGGTGATGACTCACCATTGGATAAGCCAATTCCTGTCTACAAAAAGTAGTTAGCCTAGCTAACATTTCTGAAAGCAGTGCAAAAGAGCGCGGAGATGTTTTTCTATCTGCTGCAATGAGTAGAGCTGGCTCTGCTGTGTCCTCTGGCAGCAGAATGTTTGCTGCAGATCGGAGGCTGCAGGCAACCCGTGGGGCTGAAGCCAACTGCTTTGTGAGAGCAAAGCTTTGTCGCCATTCAGGGGGAGGAATTGGAGGTAATGTGGTCTCAGTCCATGCCTAGAATCAGAGAATACAAAGTGGGGGGTAGTTTTAAACCAAACGCACAGACACTTGATCAGATAGCCACTTTTCAAGCATTCCTCTCTCAGATCTGCACCCCCTGATTTCAGCTCCGATGCTGTCTTTGCATGCAGCTGCCTCCAGCAACATTTCAGACACACCTGTGTTACTCTTGCATGATGTCTTCACTCTGACCCATCAGCACCACGTGGGGAAAACCACAGCACTTCCCAAAGACTTCCTC